TGAATGTCTGAAATGAACATTGTGTGCATGATATCAAATGATTTGATTATGAATTTAGATTCAGTTTATATGGATGTTCGATGCATTAGATATGCTTACTCAGCTTTACCGCTGAGCGTGTAGTGTGTTTTATTTGCTACACGCAGGTAAAATAGAAAGACCAATGTGATCCTGGCAGCAGATGGGGCGAGATTGTCGGGATGGATGTGATAAGTTTGAAATAATTTATGATGTGTCAATATTAAATTCGCTTCCGCAATATTATTGAATACTCTGTACTGTATATGTATGAAAAATATTATTGTGATAAATAAAGTTGTTTGAAAAGTTTTAAATTTTTACAATTACCAAGTTAAATACTTTAGTCCGAAAGGGGCTGCAGACCTGGACGGATTAGGGTGTTACAATTTGGTATCAGAGCAAATGGTTTTAAAACCGATCTTCGGATCAAAATTTGATTTTAAAAAAAATGTTGGTCACATCCACGACTCTCGCATCCCTCTGCTCCAGGAAAGGTATGAGAATTTACTTAGTAAATATTGACTATATTGAATTCTCATTAGATAACATTTGTTAGTACTGAAATTGTATCGAGTATAGACTCACGTTGAATTTTCGTACTCGGTGAAGAGACGAAAGAATAAAAAATATATATACGATCTCTAGTACGTTATCAACGTACGCATCGCATCGCGAATAACGAAACTGATCTCCATCGAAAGAACGTACGAAAGTGACACGACTATGAAGAAACGTCTAGTGTTGAATAATATCCGCGAAGCTGCTGTCAAAGAACCTCATGTGGGCTGAAGACGACTAGAATGCTGATTTAAACGAGAACATTTAGAATCAATAAACTTTGTATCCCATTCTGATGTCTGATTCATTACAGCACAATATGTGATTATATTGTGTGAATCGAAATCATTCGTTAATCGAAAATTCCTTACAAAATCTCGTCGGAATACCCTACAAGGAGATCGACAATATCCTGAACGTCGTTGCTATTGACAACTTGTGATGAAGAATTCCTCAACTGAAGACCAATGATGTTAACCTCATATAGGTGAAAGCAAAGCTGATTATTAAACCGACCGAATTCATCTCGATTGAGTACACAAACAAAGATGGATCGATTAAATTCCATATCCATTACCATCAAATGAAATCGTTATCCTTATCTTGTATCCATGACTTATTTGATCAGCTTAGAGAATCCATTGTGTTCTCTAAGATTGACTTACGGTCAAAGATACTATCATATCTTAGTTAAGACAGACAAACTGACGATCAAGAATCGCTACCCTTTACTATGAATTGACGAATTGTTTGGTCAAATTCAAAGGAACCTACTTGTTAGAAAAGGGACAGCTCAACCTCGTTGAATGGAGTGACGCCTTGTAGTAAAATGACTAGTGACTTAAACATCGATGAAGTCTGTTTGAACAAATATCTGTTATCAACTCGTGTGTTCAAGTAGAGAATTCTAATGAGGAAATTTTTGTTATTGTAGAATGAGTCAAGAAACCGCTCATGGTCAAGCTAACGAAGCTTCAAACAACAAACCCGAAAATGTTCATACCGAAGCGTCTAGTTTCACACCTCCTATTCAAAATGAACCAGTGAACTCACAAAATAATCAACATGTTGAATCTCAACCTGATGCTATGCTACCTACCTTAATGGTAAACTTCTTGCAACAAATGACTCATGCCCCTATGTTTCAACCACCTCCACCACCACTTTGTTTGATCACTTTCAAAACCTTGAAAGATAATGGTGCTGAGGAGTTCTTGGGAGATCGAATTGCCGAACCCCAGATCGCTCTTGAGTGGATCGAGCAGACCGCTCGTGTACTACAAAATCTGAACATACCTCTTACTGATCATCCAAAATTTGCATCTCAATTGCTCCGCAAGGAAGCCTATGAATGGTGGAAACGCACTGACGAAAATCCAAACACACCCAAACCGTGGACATGGGAATTCTTCGATTGGGCGTTCAAGAAAGAATATATCCCAGCCCGATTCCGTGAAGAAAAGCGTGCTGAATTTATTCAATTGAAGCAAGGAGATATGACACTTCTTGAATACCGACAAAAATTTGTCCATCTTGCTCGATTTGCACCCACACTGGTGAGCACAGCGGCCGACCGCATTGAGGAGTTTCGCAAAAGACTTCGACCTGATCTCAGGCCGCACGTATCTACTATTCAAACTATGGATTTCATTGAGGCATACGACCTAATCTCTAAAGCCGACAAAGATCTAAGTGATTATTATGAAAGTTTGAAGATTGAAGTTGTCAATGTAAATGAACAACCCAATACAAGTGGGAAGAGACCTCTGCAAGAAATTGATAGTGCCCTACACTTAAAAAGGGGAAAATCAATGACAATTCAATCGACGTCATCCATGAACAAAATGAGAGTATGGAAACATCCAAAGTGTAACGTTTGTAAAAGACACCATCCAAGAGATTGCTGGCGTGCGCAAGGATTTTGTCTAAGTTGTGGTAAACCTGGACATTTCCAACGAGAATGTTCCTCTAACCTTAAATCCTATTCAGTTACTTCTGTCCAAAATCAACCTATTCGCTCAGGAACAAGTCAATGTTCTAAAACACGAAACAATTCAAAGAATCCAACCCAAGGATGATACTCTATGAAGATCTTAAGGTGCTACAAGGGCTTGAGGATATATTGAATAATGTAGAGACCTTATGTAAACAAGAAATTATCATTCGATTTGTATCCCGAGAATATTCGTAACTGTTTGAATCTTCGTGTGTTGAACACTTTGTATAATAAAATCTTTCATTTGACTCATCTTGAAGAAAATGTTTGATATTTACATGATGCATTCTGACGTTGAAAATAAATATTTTTCTGACTTGCACTGGCCATGCATCTTAGAATAATATTTATGGTTAACTCATAATGTTCATAGACAATATTATTCCAACATAAATTCAACTGAAATTACATAAAGTAATATTACAAATGCAATTCTAAATCTAATTCCCCGGGATTTACAAACTCGTCATAATTAGCCCCAGGACCCGGAAAAGCTTTAGCAAACGCTAGCTTGTCTAAAAGTTCATCAATAAAGAAAGAAGAAATAAAAAGCTTCCTCTGATTCAAAGCCATGAAGTTCTGCCTCACCGCATCATCTAGAAACTTAATTAGGTTATTGAAATAACCATCAATGTTCAAAAGACCAATGGGTTTACTGTGCAATCCTTCGGATGCCCATGAGATCAAAGTGAACAGACCTTCCATAGTGTCAATCCCTCCAGGAAGTACGATAAAGGCTTCCACAATGTGATTCATCTCGAAGTACTTATAGTAGTTGCTGGAAACTGTGTATTCTGCACCATACGTAGGTCCGTACACCTGTCGTGCTGCTATGTACCCTGGAATGAAGCCTCTAACTATACCACCATTGTTATAGACCGTTGAAGCAACAGCTCCTTGAAGGCCAACGTTGCCTCCTCCATATGTAAGCCTTATTTTTCTCCTTACCAATTCCCTTCCTAAATCTACTGCGGTAGCCATGAACCTTGGATTTTTACCAAGAGCATGACTACCAAGTAGACCAATAAATTTTATGGTGTAAGGAAAGGTTCGAGAAGTTCCTTCCATATTGTGAGAATGTGAGATACTCTTGCCACAATTGTGATATATATAAGCCCTGAAACCTGACCTTTGAGAAAAAGGGAAGTATCCTCAGCCGAAATTTGTACAGCAAATATAGATTCAATTTACCTACTGGCAATGATATGTTCACTAATACTACAATTTGCTGACGATATGATACATTGATACTCATGAACAGTTAGATCCGCTGTCTTGAAATACGTTCAATTAGAGATGAAAAGTCAATATGACTATGGCCCTAAGACAACAACCCCTTGAGTAATTTGATAGATTACGTAATGATGTATGGATTAAAATTTTCTCTAAATCGTGATCCTTCTACAAATGCTATTGAGGAACTTTTCGATCGAGAAAAGATTTCTGCTGATCAATGATGTACAAACGAGACTCGTGATTTAACAAAGCTAGGTGCAAATATGTCAAGTATATAATACTACACACTCTGGAGGAAACTTTTGAAAGGATCAATAAATGCCTTGCTTAATTGAAGTTTGTTAATCTCTTAAATGTTGAACTAGTTTAGTGACATCAACGGTTTGAAAATACGTATCTGTAAGATAACAACGTAAACATATGAACGAGACGCAGTCATGATGACAATTCTGAACCTTAGGAGAATTTCGAGGACGAAATTCCTTTAAGGGGGGAAGAAATGTAACGCCCCAAAATATACCCTAGAATTATTAATAAATAAATAATCAATTAATCAAATTTGTTTTAATTAAGAATAAATGTTTGTTGGGCTTTGGGCCAAAATGAAATATGTTTGAATATTGAATATTACAATCAGGATAAGTCTCATAGAGATAAATCCAAAATATTGACTAATTATGTGATCTTGATTGGGAACCTGTGTACAGACCCAAATCAAGAATATATGAAGAAGTTATATATGATGTGAACTTTGAAATGATTTATTGAAATAAATCATTAGAACAAATGATATGAATTAAATGTGAGAAACCTTTTTGAATAAAGATCAATTGAATCAATTTTGACTCTGTCAAAGTCAAACACCTAAAAAATATGATGTCGGAAAAAGTATTACAAATAAATATAAAAATTATATCAATAGATAGAGTTTAATTGCCCGATCACAACGGTGCAAACGGAATTCAATTCGGAGAAAGTTGAACCAAAAAGTGTACCCCAACTGGAACCAAAATTGGTCCCAATCAGGGACACTGTGCGAACGGCGCCTCCTCCCCCACTCACTGATTACGAATCAATTTCCTACGCAGAAGCAGCTCAGCATTGTCCTCATTCCCTCATCAATCCCTATTTAAGAGAGAACTCATTTTCCCCAATACTACACCATTCTCTCTGCAAATTAGTTCATTAGAATCCTGAGAGTGAGGAGAGTGAACTGCTGTTGTTGGTTGCCGCCGAAGTCGCCGGAGTTGGGAGTAATCGTCGCCGGAAGTTTCGCCGGAAAATATTCAAAACCTTCATTTACCTTCGAGGTAAGCCCGTTGATATATCTAGTCACTAGAATGTTCGTATAGATCGTTTCTACGTTCATAAACGCTCATTTGGTTGAGTTTTGTGTTTGACGTGCTTGAAGAACCAAGAATCATAAACCATGAAATTGATGTTAAAACTATGAATTAATGATGCCAAAATGATCTATGAACCTTGGAGAACATCTCTATATAGTTTCGTTGAAGTTCGATAACTAAAAACGGTATTTCCCAAATTGGACCCGAACGAAGAAGACGATGAACAGTGGCTGAAACACCACTGTCTGGATCGATCCATGGGCTTGGATCGATCCCCTGGGAGTAATTTTCATAGTCTGGATCGATCCAGAGGGCTGGATCGATCCCCCGAAGTCCTGATCCGAAAATTTGTCTGAAAATACTATTTTTGAGCTCTAAAATCCTATTTTTAATACCAATTGATTATGATCATTATAAAAATGATTTACCACAATAAAAATGATGTTTTTAACAACTAAAAATGATATGTGTTGCATGACGGTAAGTTCGGGTGTTAACACTCGAAGCTAGGCCGCTATTTGTTATGTTAATTGATGATTATGATAAATGAATATTATGGGTGATTATGAGTAATGAACCCACTGATTAAAATAAGTATTTATGATCGAATCATGAGTAAAATGAATACAGTTATAGTTATGAAATGATTTGTAGTGTTAAAGGTATCTAGAGGAACTCTAAGATATACACATTTAAAGAATTGATGTTAAGGCTATCTAGAAGACCTCTAGAATAGATCTCATATTAGTATGGATTTGTGAAACATGAATATTCGATGAATTAGATAAAAATGCATAAACGGGATTCGTAGACCAAGCTAGAGGATTACTCGTTTGGGAATGCCCGATCCAATTGCCATATTGTTGTTGTTGCCTTAACTGACTACAGTTAAGTGTCTGAATCATCTGCCTTAAACTAGTGATAGTTTAAGTGTCTGATTGCCTTAACTGATTATAGTTAAGTGTCCAAAATCGATTGCCTTAAACTAATGATAGTTTAAGTGTCTGATAATTAATTGCCTTTTAAAGAGCATTGTTATGATCTAGCCTTAGACTAAGAATAGCTAAGAGCATTGTTATAATCTGGCCTTAGACTAAGATTAGCTAAGAGCGTTGTTATTATTTGGCCTTAGATTAAGAATAAAATAAGGGCACTGTCAGAATAATATTTGAATTGAATAAAATGTGTTGATATGAACTGAACATTATCAAAACTATGAATGTCTGAAATGAACATTGTGTGCATGATATCAAATGATTTGATTATGAATTTAGATTCAGTTTATATGGATGTTCGATGCATTAGATATGCTTACTCAGCTTTACCGCTGAGCGTGTAGTGTGTTTTATTTGTTACACGCAGGTAAAATAGAAAGACCAATGTGATCCTGGCAGCAGATGGGGCGAGATTGTCGGGATGGATGTGACAAGTTTGAAATAATTTATGATGTGTCAATATTAAATTCGCTTCCGCAATATTATTGAATACTCTGTACTGTATATGTATGAAAAATATTATTGTGATAAATAAAGTTGTTTGAAAAGTTTTAAATTTTTCCATTACCAAGTTAAATACTTTAGTCCGAAAGGGGCTGCAGACCTGGACGGATTAGGGTGTTACAAATATCCCACTCTCATTAATGCTTCGACTATAGACCGTTTAGAATTATACTAAGTGACAAGATGTCAGTTTCAACATCAAAAGGCTCATTCTGATAAACATCTTATAATATAATTCTAGGAATGCAATTAAGAGTTTACATTAGCATGAGATGTTTGTAAACTTAATGCATTTGCCTTTACATGATAGAAAATTACTAAGATATTACAACAGCAGTTGGCCATAAGGGCACCAACTCCAACAGGGGCCGGAGTCGAGGTCGTGGCAGCAGCAGACATCTGCGGCAACCCTCGGGCTTCAATTCCTAGACGTTTCCCTCTCCCTCCCCTGGTGTACTTGGGCCTCGGCCTAACCCGCCTAACCCACTAGCCCAAGCCCACATCCACAATACTCATTATTCCACTCCCCCCTACCGAAACAACCCAGCCCACGGCCCATACTCAACAAACCCAAATCCCACCCCACAGCCCAACCAATTTCCCCTCTACCCAGCCCAAGTCTCCCCCTACCCGTATCTCACCCCACCAGCCCCCACCCCAACCCACCCGCGCCTCTCCCCTACCCCACCTAGCCGCACAGCCCTAGCCCACACCCTTGAGAGCCTAACCTTCAACCCCAACTACCCCAATTGGTTCATGGATACCAGAGCATCCCACCACATCACCTCTGACCCAGGTACTTTATCTCATGTAATTACTTCAAACATTAATTCTCCCTCGCATATTATTGTTGGTAATAGTTCTAAAGTGAGCACTACTGGTTTTGGTAAGGGCACCCTTCCCACATCCCCTCCCCTAACCCTAAACAATGTCTTAGTCTCCCCCCATATCATACATAATCTCATTTCTGTCCGTCAATTTGCTCGTGATAATAATTGTAGTGTTGAATTTGACTCTTGTGGTTTCTCTGTAAAGGACAAATTGATGGGAGCCATGATTCATCGATCCAATAGTGACGGACCTCTTTATCCTATCTCGCAAGCACCGTCCAATGCCTATCTCCATCTGGCCCAAGTCGATCTCCCCACCTGGCATCGTCGGCTTGGACACCCCAGCCCTGCTCTTCTCCATGGCGTGTCGTCTTCTTTAGCTAGCTTTCCTAGATCAAAATTAGAATTTTTATGTCATGCATGTCAACTAGGCAAACATGTTCACTTACCTTTTTCTTCGTCAAATTGTGTTTCAACTTTTCTTTTTCAATTAATGCACACTGATTTATGGCAATCTCCTGTTCCTAGCATAACTGGTTTTAAATTTTATATGCTTTTATTAGATGATTTTTCCCATTACTTATGGATTTTTCCCCTTCGCCACAAATCTGATGCTTACTCTCATCTTATTAAATATCATGCTCTTGTTAAAAATCAATTTAATACAACAATAAAGTTTGTACAATGTGATAATGGCACTAAATATAGAAATAACCCCCTTGCCACATTTTTTGAATCCCTGGGAATACTCTTCTGTTTCTCTTGCCCTCACACGAGCCAACAAAATGGCCGTGTAGAATGCACCATCCGCACCATCAATAACACCGTTCACACTCTCTGTAACATCCCAAAATAGGGCCTAAAAAAATTTCATTATATGATTAGTAAACTTTAATGATTCAATTTGATAATTTAGAAACAATTTTTTTTAAAACCATTAGTTTAAAATTTTAAGAAGCAATTATATTGTTAGAATAAATTTTTAGAAGTACCAATTGATGTAGGAACCAATTTGATTAAAATTATGTGTAAAGTTGTTAATTGGACAATTCACGTATTTATGATATTAGTAAACACAAAACCCAATTATGGCAATAAAATTGAAGTAGTAGAAACGGAAATAGGATGGGGTAGTTTGGTTCTTCACCCGTGTTTGATTCCCATCTCAGGCGAGGCATGAGTATTTTTTTTTTCTCCTTTAAAAAAAAAACTCAGTACTCCGTATTACAGAAAAAAAAAACAGCAGCAACCATCATTTCGAAAATTTAAGATTTATTCCCAAATACTCTACTCATTTTATTTTTTTTGACTCTTTAGGAATCTATGTCTGAGCTATTTTGGATTCTCTTTAGTTACTTAAACACATTAAATTACTCCATATCAACCCAAACATCATCAAATATTCTTAAAATATTTTTAATGGATTTTGATGACATATTGAAGAGTTTTACACTTCTCTTGATTTTTTTTTGATATGTGCCTGATTTTATGATGTTAGAATCCTCCAAAAATGATCTAAATTATCATGATCAAGTTGAGGTAATCTTTATTGGTTGTTTCTACAAGTTTTTACCTATAAATACCACCCAAACTCATTCATTTTTCTCCATTCTCTCTTCTTAAAATTGCAGCAACTTTTCTCTTCTTTATACTCTATATATCCATAAAAATATTAAGTTATTTTACTCCCAATACACTACCAAACCTTTCCCAAAAGACTAGAAGAAGTTAGAGCCAACAAGAGTTCGTTTAGAGCCCGTTNTTTTTACCTATAAATACCACCCAAACTCATTCATTTTTCTCCATTCTCTCTTCTTAAAATTGCAGCAACTTTTCTCTTCTTTATACTCTATATATCCATAAAAATATTAAGTTATTTTACTCCCAATACACTACCAAACCTTTCCCAAAAGACTAGAAGAAGTTAGAGCCAACAAGAGTTCGTTTAGAGCCCGTTTAAGGTAAGAAAACTCTTCCGAAAATTCTGCAATTTTTTTTAGAGTTCTTCAAGTTATTGAGACACTTTTTGCTATTTTTTTTGGTTCTTCGGTAAAGCTCGATAACACCTCTAAAGTCTCGGTTCCTTACTAGTCTTCAACAACTCCGTTTCACTTTCTCTCTCGAACTCGAGGTATGTACAAAATCGTATTGCACGGACTTCCCGTTCAAACCTACTATATTTGAAAAAAAAATCCTTTAAAAAAAACACTCTTTGTATGATACAAAGTCATTTAAAAAAAATATACAAAGTACTCCCTCCGTCCGAAATATTCTTTCCATTTGACTTTTCTTGGTCAAAGTTTGTAAACTTTGACTATGATATGTGGAAAAAATATATTGTATTACGATATAACTTTAATATGAATATATTCATTTTGAAATATAGTTTTCAAATATCAAATTTTTATAAAATATATCCATGTATAAATAAAGATATTAGTGGTCAAAGTGTAATCTTGGAGACCGTAAAAAGTCAAATGGGAAGAACATTTCCGGACGGAGGGAGTAGTATTTTATTCTCAAATTAATATTTTAAACACTTTTAGAATTAATTTATTATAAAATATTGATTTATAAAAATGATTTGATTTATATGGAATAATATTCAAACTTTTATATTATCATAAGTTTGAACAACTTGAGATCATCGTAAACTTGTATTTCGGAGCAACGGTAGGAGACCCCTATCACCGCTCGTCGTATACGTATACAGAACCATCGGCCAAGGTTGCGAGAATGATGCCCAAAAGGCATTATTTCTCAGGGCTACATTCGGAGACCCCGGGTGTATGTCGTTAAATTGAATATTTCGTATCTCAGTAGTTTGGATAAAATCTTTTATAAAGTTTTTAACTAACTTATAACTATGTAGTTTCATATATGGAAATTCAATTCTGTAAAACTAAAATATTGATTTTCGTAAAAATTATATTTTTACGAGACTCCGTCCTATATTGTTTTGTACCACTCAGCAAATATGCTGAGCGTACAGTATTTTTGGTTTTTACTGTGCGTAGGTGATGTAGCTGGAACAAGTGGAAGTGCAGGACATGGCATTTAAATCCGTTTTGATAAATACGGTTATGTGTTTATTTTGTTTACTTGAATAAAAAGTTTGTATTTTATTTTATGACGTTATGTTTACAAACATATTGTGTATTAAACTCGTTTCCGCTGTTTTGAATAAATATTTATATTATGTTTTTATAAGAAATTAGTATATTTTCTCTTAACTCTCTAATTTGGAATAGTCCACGAGTTTGTTTAAGTTAGGGTGTTACATTTTGGTATCAAAGCAAAAGTTTTTAAAATGATCTTCTGACCTGATATTTTAATAAATATAACTATGTTAAAAAAAATCATATTTACAATTTTTTTATGTGTATATATTAGCACTCTCAAAAAAAAACTACTTTAGTGACAAACAATTTTGAATGGTATATTTACATACACATAAGTATCCATGTTTTCAAAAAAAAAAAGTTGGAGCAGATTTTAGAGTAAAATCATTTCTATGATTCGTTTAAAAAAATACAAATGTATTTTACTCTTTTATTTAATGTAAAAAAATAGCATTTTTAAGGCCTTGTTTTTCTGGAATATTGTTTCTTTAAAAAAAATATTATTTGTTTAACACCTTATTGATAGATGGCTTTTTAAAACATTGTGTTAAGTTTTAAAACGGTCTTTTAACTTGCTATTTTGATACATAGGAGTATAAAAAAATCAAACTTGCCAAAGTTTTATTTTTTTATATATGTATACATATTAGCGTTTTTACTTCCAAAAAAAAAGTACAAATATGAATTTTTCTTTTTACTTGCAGTATAAAAAAATTTTAAATTTTTTTTCCCTTAAGAACTTGTTACTAAAACAAAAATAGAGTAAGTTTTATTTCTACTTACTATTAAAAGAAATGGATGACAAATATGTTTTCCTTTTTGTTTTGACTTACAAAAAGTTAAAAAAAAGAGCAACATTTGTTTTTGGCATAATATTTTTTAAAAAAATTGATTATTTATTTAATTGTTTTACCGTATGCTATAAAACAATTTACTTTAAAATTTGGTGATCAAAAGTTTACAAACATTTTTGTACTTTTTTTTTTAAAAAAAAAATATAGTAAAACGAAGAATAGCCATGTTCCACTCCACGACGTCCGCTGACATCGATCAAGGAGAATTTTGAGGTAAGAAGATAGTTAGTAATTTCATAACTCTTGGTTTATCTTAGAATGGAAGCTTTGAACAACCAACCTCATGTGTCCGGAGATTCCGAGGCATCAAACATTGGAAACTTTGTTGGTGGAAACCCAGGTTATAATAATAACAATCTCAGCGCTAACAATGAGAATATCGTTGGAAATAACGTAATCAATCAAGTGGCGGGATTTCTCCACCAACCTGCTACACAAGTCCGTCCAGAAGGCTGGAATTTAGATCGTCTCAAGAAGAATGGTGCTTGGGTATACAAGGGAGGAGAATCGGGACCTACAGAAGTCGCAGAGCACTGGATCGAACAGACAAAACGTGTTTTTGAAGATAACCTCATTCAAGAAGGAGAATGGGCCCGACTGGCGATATCTCTACTGCAAAATGAAGCATATGATTGGTGGAAAGTCGAAAAGACCAAAGAAGGACTGCCCGAACCCCTAACTTCGGTAGCATTTGAGAAAGCTTTCTCTGATCATTTCATACCTCCTTACTATCGTGACGCAAAAAGAAAAGAATTTCAAAATCTGAAACGTAAAGGGATGTCCGTGTTGGCCTTGAATGCCGTACCCCGTAACCGTTTTGATGTGCCAAATAAGTCTTCCAAATGTTACTAACATCTTTTGCAGGAAGAAAACAAACGCCAAACCTCTATTAGCTTGTTTAGCATCACCGATATATACTCCTTCGAGTTTAGAAATTATTGTGTAAAGGTAATGATATATTTTAATGATTTACTTATGCCCTTTCACTCAAAAATTATTTCTAAAAATGTCAAAAATATTCTAAGTTGGGGTTATTTTGAACACGGAATACGAAAAACGAGTTTTGGAAAAATTGCACAGGTCATACGGTACCTTTCTACCGTGTACACGGCACCATGGTACCGCCGGTAGCCAAGTGAACGTACCGCTGTACGTTTCACCCAAGTGTTACACGGTACCCCCCTACCGCGTAAGGGTACCTGGGTACCGGACGGTAGGCACAGACGGTTGGGCCAACTCGTCCTAACCACCTACCGCCAGAGGCGAACCAATTTTTTGGCTTACACGGTACCCCCAAACGGTAGACCATACCGTGGGTCACGGTACCTAGGTACCAGACGGTACTGACCCTACCGTGAAGGGTACTAGATCCGTTGACAGCACTGTAGCAAATTGCCAATTTAAATTCAAATCACTCCTAATCACTTCCTAACGGCATTTAACGTTAAAAACTCAAATTTTAACATTCCAAAATCCTATATAAACCCCCTCTAAGCCTCATTTTATGAAAAACAACTTCCCAATTAAATCTAAAGCCTCTTTCTCTATTCTTGAGTGTTCTTAAAGCTCTGTTCTTATTTTTCTTACTATTTTGAGTAAAAAGCTTTCACTATTTTCATACACTCACACACAAGGGCATTTGTGCTTCATTATTTTATATCTTGCCTATAGGCTTTTGTTGTTGTTGATTTAATCTTTTGTTCTTCTCCTACCCAACTTACATTTGTTATCATTTTGGTAGAGAAGCAACACCAATCTTTTTATTGATTTGTAAAAGGTATGGATAGCCTCTAAATCCTCATTGTAAGGTTGAAGATAGCCTTAAAATATTTGGTTGTAAACGGTTGAGATAGCCGTAGTAAAATCTCATTTGCTTATTGGCAAGGGTTGTTTGCCAAATCTCGTTTGAGTCTTCTTAGTGAAGCCAAACAAGTTAGTGGAGGTTAAATCCTTGAGGAGGAGCCTCGAGGTACTGGAGTAGGGAGTTCCCGAACCAGTATAAAATCGCTTGTGTCGTATTTTTATCCTTTATATCTTTCTTGCTCTTTTTCCGCTACTACTTTGCGCATAATTTTTTGTTTTTACGAAAAATTTGCAAACACCCTAATTCACCCCCCTCTTAGGGTGTAAACCGACTTTCAATTGGTATCAGAGCAGGAAGTTTGATCCTTTCACACTCATCTTTTATTTCTTTTTACGACACATGGATTCAATGAACTCCCAAAGCATCACCAAGCCACCATTCTTCAATGGGGATAACTATGGCTATTGGAAAATGCGAATGGAGAATTTCATTCAATCTATTGACTATGATTTATGGATAGTCACTACTCATGGTCCGTTTGTTCCTATGACAACTGTAGGTGAACACCAAGTTCCTACTCCAATGGACAAACTCACCACCGAAGATAAGAAAAAACTCTCCTTGAATGCCAAAGCACTAAATGTGTTGTTTTGTGCCTTGGGTCAAGATGAGTTTGCTAGGGTGAGCTCTTGCAAATCTGCAAAGGAAGCATGGAAGCTCCTAGAAGCCACCCATGAAGGAGATAAAGACACAAAAGCTACCAAGATAGCTTTGGGAACATCCGAGTATGAAAACTTCAAGATGAAGGCCGGAGAATCCGTTCAAGATAGGAACAAACGATTCAACCTCATTGTCAACAATTTGAGTAAGCTAAATAAAGTTTATCGTACTAGTGAAATTAACACCAAGATTATATTCTCTCTTCCTAGAGAGTGGCATAGTCTTGTTGTAAATTTGTTGCCCAAATGTGCGAATGTTGAAACCTCCACCATTTGGAGCAGCCTATACTCTCACGAGCTTCTTTTGAAGAAAATGAAGGAAGAAGAACAGGTTCCTATCATCAAGAAGACCATGGCACTCAAAATTGATGACCATCCAGAAAGCGAAGGAGAAAGTGATGAGGAGCTTGCCATGTTCAAGAGATACAAGAAGTTCATGAAATGGAACAAGGGCGAATCCTCAAAAAGATTTCAACCAAAGAAAGGTAAATTGAATCAAATAACTTGCTATGAATGTGGAAATGTAGGCCACATCAAACCGGAGTGTCCAAAGCTCAAAAAGAAGGAAGAGCTTAAAAAAGGGAAGAAGAAGGCATTAAAAGTCACTTGGGATGATTTAAACTCCGACGAAAGTGATAGTGACCAAAGCCAAGAAGAGAACGCAAATGCTTGCTTCATGGCCTCCAATGATGAAGAAGAGGTTAGTTCTCAAAATTCATTTACCTCTTTTGAAAGTCAAATTACTTTTGATGAGTTAAGGCAAGCGTTTGATGAATTCCAAGAGGACCTTTTTCGAACTATTAGGGAGAAAAAAGAACTCAAAGTGGCTCTTGAAACCTCTCGAGATGAAAACAAAAATTTAAAAATTAATCTTGAGAAACTTCAAAATCAAAATGAAGAATTTCAAAAGAAAATTGAAATTTTGATTAAAGAAAAGGACAAGGCCAAACAAGGGGCTTTGGAAATGTTTTACAATAGCTATAACTCAACAAAAGAATGGGATAACCAACCAAAACTAACGAAAGAAGGTATTGGTTATGGTGAAACCACAAATTTGATGAGTATGGCTAAAAATCATTTTAATACCTCAAAAATTAACCCATCAAACCAAGCCTCAACTTCTAAATCAAAAGTAAGGGCTTGTCACTATTGCATGCAAGCTAACCATATTGTGACAAAATGTCCAAACAAATGGTTAGTTGAAATGCGTAGATTAAAATGGGTCAAGAAGGGTTCTAACCGATCGGAATCCAAGAATATTGGATATCAAAAGAAACCCTTTATGCAGGAAAGTAAAAGAAATGATGGAGGATACTATTTCTTTTATTACGATGAAAAACGAAAAGTCCATATACCACTTCCGGAACCAACCAAGACGAAACCCGTATATCGACATAGGGTATTTGTCGATTGGAACCCCAAACCTAAGTCAAAAGTAAATTCCGTTTTGACTAGGTGAAAATACTACTTGGGTTGTGGATAGTGGATGTTCAAGGCACATGACCGGAACAAGAGGATGGTTCACAAATCTCAAGGAGAAAAGTCATGGACACGTGACCCTTGGAGACAAATCCCGGAAGAAAGTCATTGGTAAAGGTACGATAGGTATTTCAAGTGATTTTTCAATAAATGATGTTTATCTTGTTGATGGCCTAAAATTTAATTTAATTAGCATAAGCCAACTTTGTTACAATGGCCACAAAATTGATTTTAATGCAAATTCCTGCGTTTTATATGGCCAAAACAAGGATGAAATCATTTTTGAGGCTAAAAGAGATGGAAACTTATACAAGTTCAATTCCAATGATTTAAGCAACTCAAAAATCACTTGTCTTACTACTTCGCTTGAATTTTCAACTCTATGGCATCGTAGACTAGGACATGCTAGTTATGATCTTTTGAGAAAACTTTACTCAAAAGAACGTGTTGTTGGGCTACCAAAAATGAGCATACCTACTTCTCGTTTTTGTGATGCTTGCTCCCTTGGAAAACAACATAAAGTATCATTTAAGCCTATAAAAATGGTTTTAACTTCAAGGCCACTTGAACTATTACATATGGATTTATTTGGGCCCGTAGACGTTCAAAGCCTAGGTGGAGCTAGTTTTACTTTTGTGATTGTAGATGATTTTTCTCGTTATACTTGGACTATATTACTTGCCAATAAAGATGATGCTTTTAATGCGTTTGTTAAATTGTGCAAGAGAATCCAAAATGAGAAAGGTTATGAAATAACCTCCATTAAAAGTGATCGAGGAGGAGAATACCGAAACACCGACTTTGAAACGTATTGTGATGAACACGGTATTTCTCACAACTTTTGGGCTCCTAGAACACCTCAACAAAATGGAGTCGTTGAAAGGAAAAATAGGACGTTGCAAGAAATGTCAAGGACCATGTTGAATGAACACAACCTACCTCAATATTTTTGGGGAGAAGCGGTCAACAAGGCATGCTACGTTCTTAACCAGGTATTACTTAGACCTATTATTAAAAAGACTCCCTATGAACTTTGGAAAGGTAGAAAACCAAATATTTCCTATTTCAAAGTTTTTGGGTGTAAATGCTATATTTTAAATACCAAGGATCATTTAGGCAAATTTGAGCCTAAATCAAATGAAGGAACTTTCCTTGGTTATTCAACAAATAGTAGAGCCTATAGGGTATATAATAAATTAAATCATAAAGTAGAAGAATCTATGCATGTAAAATTTGATGAAACCGATCCCTTTGGGTCGAGTAAGGTAATTACAGGTTCAAATGAAGAAGAAGAGGAAGAGGAAATCCTGGAAATTCCTGCGCAAGAAGAAGAAAGTGCAAAGAAGGAACTACCGAAGGCATACAAACACTTGAAGAATCATCCAAGAGATTGTTGGCCTTGAATGCCGTACCCCGTAACCGTTTTGATGTGCCAAATAAGTCTTCCAAATGTTACTAACATCTTTTGCAGGAAGAAAACAAACGCCAAACCTCTATTAGCTTGTTTAGCATCACCGAGATATACTCCTTCGAGTTTAGAAATTATTGTGTAAAGGTAATGATATATTTTAATGATTTACTTATGCCCTTTCACTCAAAAATTATTTCTAAAAATGTCAAAAATATTCTAAGTTGGGGTTATTTTGAACACGGAACACGAAAAACGAGTTTTGGAAAAATTGCACAGGTCATACGGTACCTTTCTACCGTGTACACGGCACCATGGTACCGCTGGTAGCCAAGTGAACGTACCGCTGTACGTTTCACCCAAGTGTTACACGGTACCCCCCTACCGCGTAACGGTACCTGGGTACCGGACAGTAGGCACAAACGGTTGGGCCAACCCGTCCTAACTACCTACCGCCAGAGGCGAACCAATTTTTTGGCTTACACGGTACCCCCAAACGGTAGACCATACCGTGGGTCACGGTACCTAGGTACCGGACGGTACTGACCCTACCGTGAAGGGTACCGGATCCGTTGACAGCACTGTAGCAAATTGCCAATTTAAATTCAAATCACTCCTAATCACTTCCTAACGGCATTTAAAGTTAAAAACTCAAATTTTAACATTCCAAACTCCTATATAAACCCCCTCTAAGCCTCATTTTATGAAAAACAACTTCCCAATTAAATCTAAAGCCTCTTTCTCTATTCTTGAGTGTTCTTAAAGCTCTGTTCTTATTTTTCTTACTCTTTTGAGTAAAAAGCTTTCACTATTTTCATACACTCACACACAAGGGCATTTGTGCTTCATTATTTTATGTCTTGCCTATAGGCTTTTGTTGTTGTTGATTTAATCTTTTGTTCTTCTCCTACCCAACTTACATTTGTTATCATTTTGGTAGAGAAGCAACACCAATCTTTTTATTGATTTGTAAAAGGTGTGGATAACCTCTAAATCCTCATTGTAAGGTTGAAGATAGCCTTAAAATCTTCGGTTGTAAACGGTTGAGATAGCCGTAGTAAAATTTCATTTGCTTATTTGCAAGGGTTGTTTGCCAAACCTCGTTTGAGTCTTCTTAGTGAAGCCAAACAAGTTAGTGGAGGTTAAATCCTTGAGGAGGAGCCTCTAGGTACTGGAGTAGGGAGTTCCCGAACCTGTATAAAATCGCTTGTGTTGTATTTTTATCCTTTATATCTTTCTTGCTCTTTTTCCGCTACTACTTTGCGCATAAGTTTTTGTTTTTACGAAAAATTTGCAAACACCCTAATTCACCCCCCTCTTAGGGTGTAAACCGACTTTCAGTCCGTGGAAGCTTATAAAACAAAATTTGTTAAGCTATCTAATTATGCTAAGGATTTAATCACTGATGAGGAGAAACGATGTGAGTTCTTCATCGACGGACTAGATGAGGAATTCCAAAGGAGTCTCAACGGGACCGTACATCAGAACTTCAATGAGCTCATCAAAGCAACCATGCGTATTGATGCGATCGGAAAGAAAACCTTTGATCAAGGGGAAGCATCATCAAAGAAGAACAACTCCAACACAAAGAATGTTGGTTGGGGAAAATATGGTCAAGCCCCCAAACAACAACAATAGTACAACAATAAGCAAAAGAAGACGGAAACTGTGGTTGAAAGGCCTGAATGCCCTACCTGTAATCGTCGCCACAATGGGGAATGTTGGTTTCTAACTGGAGCATGTATGCGTTGTGGGCAGAAAGGTCACATCTCAAAGAACTGTCCTAAACGTACTGACAAGGCGGAAGCACCGATTCAAAATAATAACAACAATCGCCCACCTCCAAGACAAGCTGCACAAATTCAACGAAACAATGGAAACAACAACAATCGAGTTCCGGCAAGAACATATGCTATGCAAGGGAGGGAAGATCAATAGAACCGTAATGTTATTATCGGTATGTTCACTATATTCGATAATAACCTATGCGCTTTAGTTGATCCTGGATCTACACATTCTTATATTTGTGTGAATCAACCTTTTACGAAGATGTTGAACAAAAGTCAGCTAGATAATCCGATACTAGTCTCAAACCCCTTAGGACACAGTATAACCCTAAGAGAGGTATATCACAATTGCCCACTAACAGTAAAAGGGAAAACCTTTCACGCGGACTTAATTGAACTTCCATACAAAGAATTTGATTTGATTCTTGGGATGGATTGGCTCTCAAATCACAAAGCTATTGTGGATTGTCATAATAAAGTATTGACGCTCCAAACTGAGGATGGCTTGATTGTAACGATCAAGGGAGAGCTCATCCCGCAAGCACCTCAGTTCATATCCTTAATGCAAGCCAAACGCTTAATACGAAAGAAATGTGAAGCATACTTATGCCATGTAAAAGATATGCGGGCGTTAGATCCACAAATACAGAAGATTCCAATTGTCAATGAATTTCCCGACGTCTTTCCCGTTGAACTTCCAGGTTTACCTCCACCTCGTGAAGTTGAATTTTCCATCGACCTCGAACCTGGAACCATGCCGGTATCAATCACCCCTTACCGTATGGCTCCAGCAGAAATGAAGGAGTTAAGGGCTCAACTTCAAGAACTATTGGACAAGGGATTCATTAGGCCAAGTGTATCACCCTGGGGAGCACCTGTCTTATTTGTTAAAAAGAAAGATGGCTCATTGCGATTATGTGTGGATTACTGACAACTCAACAAGTTAACTATTAAGAATCGGTACCCATTACCACGAATTGATGACTTGTTTGATCAGCTACGTGGAGCAAGTGTCTTCTCAAAGATTGATTTAAGGTCTGGATATCATCAACTTCCAGTTAAAGCTAATGACATTCCAAAAACCGCCTTCAGGACTCGTTATGGACATTATGAGTTTACGGTGATGCCTTTTGGATTAACCAATGCACCGGCAGCTTTCATGGATCTAATGAACCGAATATTTCGTCCCTACCTAGATCAATTTGTTGTTGTCTTCATCGACGACATATTGGTCTACTCAAAAACTGCTAAAGAGCATGAAAAATACCTTAAGATTGTACTCCAGATTCTAAGGGAAAATCAATTATATGCCAAGTTATCCAAGTGCGAATTTTGGTTGAAAGAAGTGGTTTTTCTTGGACATATTATCTCAGATGAAGGAATTCGTGTAGATCATACAAAGATTGTTGCAATTACTGAATGGAAAGCTCCGCGTAATGTTCGAGAAGTAAGAAGTTTTCTTGGTTTAGCAGGTTACTATCGAAGGTTTGTCCCTGGCTTTTCAATAAAAGCATCGCCCTTGCACAAGTTGTTGAAGAAAAACCAAAGGTTCCAGTGGACAGAATCATGTCAGAAAAGTTTCGAGGAACTAAAGACTGCACTCACACAAGCTCCAGTTTTAGTTCTCCTGAGCCTGAAAAGGACTATGTCGTTTATAGTGACGCATCTCATAATGGACTGGGTTGTGTGTTAATGCAAGAAGGGAAGGTAATAGCTTATGCTTCAAGGCAATTAAAAGAACATGAAAAGAATTATCCCACACATGATTTGGAACTAGCCGCAGTAGTTTTGGCGTTAAAAATTTGGCGTCACTATCAATACGGCGAAAAGACATACATCTACACTGATCATAAAAGCCTGAAATACCTTCTCACACAAAAAGAACTCAATTTGAGACAACGAAGGTGGTTGGAATTAATCAAAGACTATGATTGTGTCATTGACTATCACCCCGGCAAGGCTAATGTCGTGGCTGATGCCTTAAGCAGAAAGACATTGGCTGAACTTCATATTCAACCAACATTAGAAACCGAAATCCTTACAAGGCAGACTCAAGATCAATTTTGCAAAGATACAGCTGAGCTTGTTTCTAATGGTGAGAAACAAGAGTTCTCTATTCAATCGAACGGAGGACTATATTATCGATCAAGATTAGTTGTACCCGAAGGTGACATTCGGACTAAAATCATGCAAGAAGCACACAATACTACTTACACTATGCATCCTGGTAGTACAAAATGTTGGAGTTGTGGCCTGATGGCCAACTGTTCATCGTTATCCTATCATGTATAGGCAGATATAATATGTTTACACATCTCATGCTAATGTAAACAAATATTATATTCCTAGATTTATATTTAAAAGATGTTTATCAGATAGTGTTATTCTGCTGATGAGACTAACATCTTGAAATAAATATTTATCTAAATGTCCATAGTCGAGTATTAACGAGAGTTGGATATCGTTAATGCATGTGAGACTAGTGTGTGTTGGATGTTTGACTTAGTCTCATAGTCAATGACAGTGTGTTCGCATCCGCACATGGGCAGATATTATCTAGAGATAATAGGATGCCGGACTGACCCATCCTAAAGATGTTGCTTGAA